AGGAGTCCCTCTTGCGCCTTTCTGTATCTGGTAGGTTACATCGTTGATCCTGGTAACAATCCGGTACTGGCCGTCCCATTTAGCTTGAAGCTTAGGAGATTTCCCTTTGCTGCGGACTGGATTGTGCAACCACACTAGTGAACTTTCGTCGAACCCTTTGTTGTTCATTTTGCGGTCATACCGGGTTTTCATCTCTTCGGACATTTGCTGGCCCGATTGTCTAACGTGCTCATAAATGTCTTTCATTTTGTTCATTTGCATAATCGGTTATACTGCTTGGGGCATCAGGTGCATCAAAGTTTGCGGAAGCTGGTGTCACTGATGTACTTTCGTGAACAGCGCTTCGATATGACAACAAAAACGGTTGTATGTGCTTTTCCCAATCTCGTTGCCGATTGTCTACAACTTTTGCTAGGTACCTCTCCAATGTCTGATTAAATCGTTCTACCATTCCATCAGATTGCGGGTGAAAAGAAGTCGTTCTTGTTTTATGAGTACCCATAACTCGGCAAGTTTCCTGGAATATTTGAGACTCAAAATTACTTCCTTGATCGCTGTGAATCTCTAAAGGTACTCCAAAACGACAGAAGAGTTCATGAACTAGTTTATCTGCAACTGTTAAAGCTTCTTGATTTGGAATGGCGAAGACTTCTGGCCACTTAGTGAAGTAATCCATCACAACCGTGAAATACTTGTTACCGCTTTCACTCTCCGGAAACGGCCCCGCCACGTCAATGGCTATTCTCTCCCATGGTGCACCAACATTATACAACTTCAATGCACCTCTACTACGAGTCTGAGGTCCCTTTACAGCCGCACAACTTGTACATTTGCGACACCAGTCCTCGACATCGTTTCGACAGTGGACCCAGTAAAACCGTTCTCGGATCTTCAGTAGAGTTCGTTTAACTCCTAGGTGGCCTCCTGAACAATCATTATGGTACAGCTGTAGAACATCCGGTAATTTAGCTTTAGGGACAACCATTTGCAAATGACAGTTGTTTCCTCGAACATTTTCCCACTTACGGCACAGAACTCCATCCTGAAGCAGCAAGAAACAGAAACAGAAACAGAAACTTTTTATTCAATGTAGATTACAAGCAATACTTGTTGAAAGTCAATTTTTTCATTTACCACTGGTTCGCAAGAAAAAAACCTCTGTCCTGGGAAGAACCAGCAAGAAACCCAGCGGGACTATTTTTTTTTTCAAATAATAGCTTACAATCATGTTTACAATTGACAACACAACACAAATTAGAAAAAGCTTGGTAGCGATCACCCTTCCCAGGGGTTACTATCATCCATAAATTCCTTAATATTATAATAACCCTTTTTATACAAACTTAGTTTAATAAAATTTTTGAATTTTGCGTATGACAAATTTTGTATATTTTCTGGGATTTTGTTGTAAAAGCGTATACATCGCCCCAAGAATGAATTACTGACTCGGTGGAGTCGAGTAACTGGTACTACTAGCTTGTGTCTGTTCCTAGTATTTACAGAATGAATATCACTTATTTTTGCAAAACTACGTTTATTCTTGTGTACGTACATTACATTTTCATAAATATATTGAGAGGCCAGAGTTAATATATTGATTTCCTTAAATTTTTGTCTCAGTGACTCTTTTGGTTTTAAATTATATATTGTTCTAATGGCTCTCTTCTGTAAAATAAATATAATTTCAGTGTCAGTCGCGTGTCCCCATAGCAAAATACTAACACGAAATAATGCTACAGAAATAACTAAAGTAAACTATTCTTGCTGTTTCAACACTGGTAAGAGTTCTAATCTTTTTTACAGCATACGCTGCAGAACTAAGTCTGTTAGATAGTTTTGATATATGGGGGAGCCATTGAAGCTTTGCGTCTAGTGTGATTCCAAGAAAATTGGTGGTATCAACAAGACTCAGTTCTTCCCCATTTAAAATTACATTCGTATTAACATGTCTGACATTAGGAGTTATGAATTTCATACATTTAGTGTTAGTTCCATTTAAATGCAAATTATTAACATTAAACCAATTGACTACCTTAGCTATAGCATTATTTACTTTCGTCGTAATTTAATAACTGTCGTTTTAATTTGAAAATTAATGAAGTATCATCAAGCTGTCCCATTGGGCCCAATAGCTTTTAGTGGTCAAACTCACCGCCGAGACGTCGCTCCACTTAGGCTTGGGAGCACTGGCCTTCATCCATTCCAGAATTGGCTTGATATCCGGATCTTACTGCTGTGCATGTTGTAAGCTGTCCTTCCACTCGTTGCTGAGGTTGTCTGTCCTGAGCATCCTCACGGATACCATTTCCTTACTCTCTTGCCTAGTACAATGTTTGCAATCTTCAGGACAAGGTCTTCTTGACAATGCATCTGCGTTGCCATGAGATTTCCCGCTGCGATGTTCGATTTCAAAGTCGTATTCCTGCAGTAGTTCAATCCACCTCGCAACTTATCCTTCTGGATTTATAAACTGCAATAGCCATTTAAGTGCAGCATGGTCAGTTCGTAAGTGAAATTTTCGCCCCAGAAGATATTTGCTAAAATGCTGCAACGACTTTACTACAGCTAGCAATTCTCGTCTTGTGAAACAATAGTTCCTCTCCGGTATTGACAACTACTTGCTGAAATACGCTATCACGACCTCTTGGTCACCATTCCGTTGAGACAACACACCGCCAAGTCCTACATCACTTGCGTCTGTGTCAACTATAAATTCTTTGCTTGCATCTGGGTATCCCAAAATAGGTGTTTTGCACAGACGGTCCTTGAGCTCCTGGCATGCGATATTGCAACTTTCATCCCAGCAGAAATGTCGCTTCTCCTCGGTTAGCTTATACAGAGGTTTGGCTATATCTGCAAAGTTCTTCACAAATCGCCGGTAATAGGAGCACAAACCCAAAAATGCTCTAACCTACGTCTTGTCTTTCGGAACCGGCCAATTCTTGACAGCGGCGATTTTCTCTGGATCCGTGCGGATCCTTCTTCCGATACTACATACCCCAAAAAGTTAACTTGCCGTTTGAATAGTGAACATTTCTTCTGACTCTACTTGAGATTGGCACTCTGAATCTTCATGAGCACGCGTTCCAGGTTTTGAAGGTGTTCCTCAAACGTACGGCCTACGATGATGATGTCATCCAAGTAGACCAGACAGGCATCGCCAATTAGCCCGGTAAGTACAAGTTCCATCAGCCTTTCAAACGTTGCTGGAGCATTGCACAACCCAAACGGCATTACTTTGAATTGCCACAGACCCTTTCCCGTCAAAAACGCAGTTTTCTCCTTGTCCTTAGGGTCAATTTCAACTTGCCAGTAGGCACTTTTTAGATCCAGCGTGCTAAACCACTTTACTCCTGTAAGCACGTCCAGCGTGTCATCAATTCTTGGCAAGGGATAGCTGTCCTTCTTCGTAACGTCATTCAGACGGCGGTAGTCAACACAAAACCGCATGCTGCCATCCTTCTTCTTTACCAGCACCACGGGTGAACACCATGGACTAGAGGAAGGTTCAATAACACCATCCTTCACCATTCCTTCAATCATGGTTTCCACTTCCTTTTCACGTGCTACCGGCAATGTTCTTGGCCGCTGATGGATAGGCAATTCTTCTACTGTGTTTATTTTGTGTTGAACTGAGCCAGTCTTGCCTATGTCAGCATCGTTTGATGAGAATACATCGGCATACATGAGTAACAACTTCTTCGCCTTGACCATTTCGTTCGGGGAGAGAACGCTGCGACAGTCTTCCAAAAGGTGGTCACTCTCGTTTGTGCATCCTTGCTAGGGGTCTCACTCGATAGATATTGGCACCGACGTAACCAATCCACTTCCTCACAAGTACCAACCAGCGTGCCTTTTTCTATAATCTGTTCCCGGTCACTAAGGTTCAGCACACGTACTCCTGAGATGTCAGTGGTTCTGACCAAGGTTCGGGCTACTTTCCATGGAAAGTCATTGTTTACCCTTTCCACAAGTACACAACGGTGAGCTTGCCCAGCGTTTCGAGGAAGACTAACCGGCACAATCGTTTCTGATCTCGGCGGAAGAATAATGTTCTTAATGCTATACACGTTCCCTGGCAACGCACCTTCCATAAAAAGTTCATCCTGTCCACATTTCAAAACACCTTGCTTAACGTCGATCTCACAACAATTATTCCTCATAAAGTCTAGACCCAGGATGCAGTCGTCCATTATATCAGCTACGATGACATCATGCAGGTAGATCACGTTGCCTAGCTTCAACTCCATCTCCTTCTCTCCACGGACGGGTATACGCTGACCGGTGGCTGCTACCAAATTAAGGCGTTCTCGGTTGTATGCGGTGTTCCCAAGGAACTGACTTATAAGTTGAGAACTAACAACCGTACGAGAGGCTCCAGTGTCTACGGTCAGTTTACACGGCATTCCGTTGACCTCGCCCTTGATCCTTCCCAGCTTCCGACAGGCGGTTGTCATGTTAAGCAACCTTATCTTTCACCTCCCTTATCTCTTTTCCGAAAGTAGCTTGAAGGTCTTTCATGAGGACATCTGCTCTTCCTTATCGCGTTGGAGTTGCTCTTCTAAACGACGGGCCTGTTCCTCCTGCCGGCGGGCCTGTTCCTCCTGTCCGCCCGGCAGCTGCTCTTCCAATCAGCGGGCCTGTTCCTTTCGTCCGCCCCGCAGCTGCTCTTCCAATCGGTGGGCCTGTTCCTCCGGTCCGCGCTGCAGCAGCTGCAGCATCACCATCAGAGCACCTAAGTCAGGTGCCACAGACGTAGGAGCTGCTGACGGGCTGGCTTCCGTTGCCGGCGGCTGGCCCTCAGACATCTGCGGCCCGTCCATCTCCTGCTGACGTTGACTTCGGATACGGACACCCCACTTCTGACACCTAGTGTTGAACGCCTAAGTTGACGTCTGGCACTAGCACCATCTAATGTCGGGTAACAAAGCGAGGAGACCATAAATCCCGACACCGAACTAGGCGACACGTGTAACGTAAACGGTGACTGCACACTACCTATGAAAAATGAACTGAATCATGCCAAAAACATTGATGACATATCTACGCCTTCTGAGTTTAAATTCGACGAAGATTTTGAATTCGAAGATCCCGATGTGACTGCAAAACGAAAGGAAATAGAAAAATACCTGGAAAACCCTGATTTCGTAAATGTTGAGCAGTGGCAAAGTATTGCAAAAAGTAAAGGAGGCTTAATAACAGATGAATACAGAAGAAGAATCTGGCCTTTGCTGGTGGGTGTTATACAAGATGAGATGACAGATCCCCCATCACTAGATGAATTATCAACACACATTAAATATAACCAAGTGGAGTTAGATGTGAAACGTTCCCTGAAACGGTTTCCTCCAGGTATACCATATGAACAGAGAGTTGCTTTACAAGATCAGTTAACTGTACTCATACTTCGTGTAATTATTGAGTACCCACACTTAAAATATTATGATGATATAGCAATAACTCTGTTGCTAGTGTGCGGTGACCGGGCGTCGTTTCCTTTACTATGTCGACTGTCGTATGGCCCAAAGGCCCCCTAGCGCCTTTCATGCAGGCTACAGTGCACCCCCCGAACGGGTTCCCGCCTTGTCGTGGCGGGGGGGCTTAGTAGCCGTGGCTTGGTCTCCCACGATGAACAAAGAGGAACCCACGTGGCTGGCCCGAGGTGAAGGGCCGGCCTGAGGTCGCCACTCCGAGTGGGCTTGGGGACCCACTTCGGATGTGTACTGGTGGACTGCAGCGTGTGGGGACTTCGCACCCTCTACCGCTGCAGCCGAGGTGGAGTCGCGGAGGAAGAGGAGTGTTGGTATGGCGATGCGCCACTCGCCCTATCCTCCGCGACTCAAACGGGGCCGCACCGTTGATGCGGTGGTGATGGGGCTGCGGGGGGAGAGGATTGTCGGTATTGCGAGGCGCCGCTCTCCCTATCCTCCGCAGCCGAATCTTGGTTGGCGGCGGAGCCATAGACCAGGACCGCCGCTGGGGTCAGGAAGGCTAGTACTTCTAAGTGCTCGTTTTTCCTGGCCCCATGGCCTTCGCGCATCGGACGCGGGGGCGTCTGTTGCGCAGATGTAATTGGAGGCCGTGGAGGAAGGTGTGCCATGTGTTCTGGTGCGCCTTACTTGGGAAGGAGAACGGGAAGGAATATTCCTCTCCCGAGGAGGTGCTGCCATGGGGCGGCAGTCGCTGGTAGGGCCGCGCAAGTGTGCGAAAGCGTTCCCGTAGCCCTGCCAATATGCGACGAAGGTGGAACACCATGGGGTTTTAGTCGGTGCGAGTCCGACATAACCCGTCCTTGCCCCCCGCGAGGCGGGTATGCGTAGGCATTTCCCCATGTTAAAAAAAAGGCTACAATGCAACCAACGCAACAATACGTATATAATATAAAATGTACTATAATACTGTCGTAGCTTATTCTAGTAATAACCAATCATCATTTCAGTGTACGTCAACTCAAGTAATATGGATTATGAAAAGCTAAAGAAGAGAGATTTTAAAACAATAGAAAACTATTATCAACATATTATCACTTAAAATTCAAAATAATACTGATTGTTTTCGATAAAAATGCTAAGCAATGGATTAATATTAAAATCTAAATATAGTACTTATTAATTTATTTCATAGAATTATAACATCCAATTATATATATCTAGATATATACACAGTTATTCTCCGAAAATTAAAAATTAAAAATAATAGAAATTATAATGAAATATATATTTATTTGTTTAATAATGTTCTAGCAGTTTATGAATATTCCATTCCCCTTCTTGAATACCTAATAATATTTAATATGTTAATATTTCTTTTATAATATCTTACAAATATCATTTTACGAAGTCACTTAACGAGAACGATTCTTAGACCCGCTAAGTATATGACGACGTTTTGACGAGATCTTACAGTTTCTAAAATTACAATCTATCAAAGTCAACTACTGAACATACTGGCTTCCTCACGGATAATCTCATAAGGGGGGTATTTGCCAAACTTTCCACTTTTGGCAGGCGGGTTGCCAACCGCAGTTCTTTTCTTTGGATCTAGTTGTTGTTAAGAAGATGCTGTGAAGATGGTGCCACACCCGCGGGACGATTTGGGTTAGCGGATATTCTTTCAACCCTAAAACACATTGTATTTGAATACTAATGTTATAAATTTCCACTTCATTACTAAATAAATCTAGGAATATTTAAAAAAGTTTACTTAAAATGTCGTGATTAAATCTAAATTTGCGACTATTTGTAGGAAAAATTTACTATGTATTTTTCATATGAAATTTTAATTGATCAAGAATATGTAACGGTAATTATTCTTTAAATAAATTCATATTATTGTATATTACAAGAATGTTATAAACTTATTGACATAACAAAATTACTATAAAATACGTGGCGTTTCGCGCATCGCAAACTCAAAACCGTTAGCCGACGAATAACTAAGGTATAGGAAAAACCCAAAAAAACCCCATTCTTTGAGTGATAAAAGGTAGCGTCCAATATATGTTAACACAGAATAAATAATTGATTATGTGCTAATATTAAGTATATTCAAAAACATGGGAATTTTTATAATTATGAAATTTTGTCACAATTCAGTAGTCAACAATAGAAATAAAAATAAGTATTTTGAATCGACGATTGATAAAAATATGAGTTTTCTGAAATGGAGTATTCCTATACGTTTGAATACTGATTACCAAATATTTTGTACTGATATAAAACAGGAAACAAACTTAATCCATCCAACTATTGACCCATATCTCTGTAATCAATAATATCAATAATAATAGAAAAAATTGCAACAAACAAAAAATTATTAAATATTTAGAAAATAACAATCTACTAGCACTAAATCAGTATGGTTATAGAACGGGTCGGTCAATGAATGATGCAATGCTAGATTTGACCAATCAAATATCGACATATCACAATGCGGGAGAAAAATGCGTTGGGGTTTTTTAGATCTCCAAAAAGTTTTTGTTACCGTCTCAATTTCAATTTTAATCTCACGACTGCAAAATACGGGTATTAGGGACGTACCTTTTCAATGGATCTCTGACTATTTAAAAAATAGAAAACAACGAGTACGCATATGCAACCAATTGAGCGATACTGTGAACTGCTCTTATGGTATACTATAAGGAAGCATGTTAGCAGCAACTCTATTTTTAATTTATTATTAAATATTATTATTATATTTATTATTAAATAATAATGTTTGCTGATGATACTGTGCTGTTGTTTTACGGGAAGGACTGGAAACTATTCAAAAACTAAGTTAAATTAGTTTAATTAGAGTAAATAAATGGCTGCACAACAGTAGACTCACGCTGAATATCTCCAAAACAAAATACATTTGCATCAGACATACCAAAGCATTGAATTGCAAAACAAATTTGAGTGTAATCATACATTCTAATTCATGTGACATATCTCACTTTCAATCAATGTGCAAGTGCACCTCCATAGAAAGGGTATCAAATAAAAAATTTATCAAATACCTGGGTGTCACAATAGATGAAAATCTGTCATGGTATCTACACATTCCGAATACTGCCAAAAGATTAAAAAAACTATTATTTATTTTCAGACAACTAATAACAATAGCTGACCAACAAATTTTAGTCCAGACCTATAATGATCTATGGCACTTTTTAATAAATTACTGCATTTGTTCTTAGGGTGGTGCCTGCAAAACACACTTAATGTTAGCATAGAGCGAGCGCAAAGAGCTATCCTAAAAGTGATGCTTTCTTTACCTTACCGGTACCTGACCTTATTGCTATATAAAAACAGGTATTGTCTGTTCGGAAACTTTCGTGTATTAATGCATCAATCATCACATGCACACGCACGCACGCACGCACTCACTCACGCACGCACGCACGCACGCACTCACGCACGCACGCACGCACTCACGCACTCATGCACGCACGCTTATACAATGACACAATATCAGGTCAGAGTGTCGATTGATAATACATTGTTATTTTTATATATGAAAATGACTCAATAGGCTATGTGAAGCTTAAGAGGGTGCAAAACACATGTACAGTTATGTGTAATAAATATGCCCAGAATACAAAGTAATTCTCCATGTTATTTTCTAGCTAAAACATGAAATAATCGTTATAACATTTAATATTTAGTTAATCGATATATCGTTATCATCGACAATCGTTAAAAGATAATCTAATCTATTACAAAATTTGTCTTTCAATAGCTATCATCTCAAGATGTTTTGTATAAACTACAATTTAATATAAGCCCTATTTACATTAAAGTTATCTTCACTGAAGTATAGTCTAGTTTTTTTAACGAACTATAACGATTCTTTCCAGTTTATAAAATGAATAAATAAATCATTTGGCAAAAACCCACAACTTCCCCGGCGTTCTTATGCTCGTATTTTTGCACTCCGGCACAACACACCAATGATAAATATGATAACTCATAATTAAACATTTAAAAATATCTTATTCCTTTGCAAACGTCGCAAGCGAGCGTTTTCGCACAAAAACGATAAATTAAAAGTTATTTTTATGGAACTATTCGGTTTTAATTTTTTTAAATTGTAGTGGTTCATTATCACTCTGGGATTCAATTAAAGCACGATTTGAAAATTTGGAAATACCCTAATTTATTAGTAATAGAGTGTGTGGTCGTCAGTCACCCATCTAATATATAAAATTTTTTGTTTGTTCGTATTTTATGCACTGCCATATCCATACCGTACCGATCATCACACTGCGGTTAAACTATCTCAACATATTGCTTGCAGTTCCGCGGAGGTTATAGGCATACATTTGGACCTGTTGTAGTATCGAAAAATCACCCGTGCGAAGCCTTTAACAGATCGTTAATACTCGTATTCTACAGAAATGAAGTATTTTTGTAGTAAAAACTCTTTCACTTGCATAATGAAACATAATGGACCAATGTAGCTTTGAGGTCGAGTCTACCAGTCGTTCTAGTTAATCATGTCCTAGTATTTTTTTATTTAAAACGAAACATTGATTGCAAAGGTTGAAAACAACGGCGAAGTACATGCAATGCACGAATAGTCTCTTGTGCTACTCAGCACTAATTTAGATTAATGAAGAAAAAAATAGGCATGTGCACAATATTACCGAACCCCCCCCAACAAAAAGAAAATTGAGTTTTCATCAAATCTTGACATTTTGAGGTCACAGGAAGCCACCCTGACAATTTTTCTATGTTGTTTGTATGTCTATATGTATGTGTGTGTGTGTGTGTGTGTGTGTGTGTGTGTGTGTGTGTGTGTGTGTGCGTGCGTGCATGCGTGCGTGCGTGCGTGCGTGCGTGCGTGCGTGCGTGCGTGCGTGCATGCGTGTGGATGGATGTAAACCTCTTATAACTTTAGAACACCTTGACGGATTGAAATAAACTAAGCGGATTCCCAAAGTGTTTCATCAAACATCATGATGCGGGTAATGAGCTGTCATGTGAACATTATGCTCCTGTAATTTAATTGTTTAAAATAGTTATTCAACTGTTTCGTGTTAGATTTACCAAAA